CACCACCGTCGTCTCCTCCACCTCCCCCATGACCGCTACTTGGTTTCTCTGTCCCCATCCTCTAATTGATCCGAGTATTGCAATAGTCTGTAATCTTCCCGGCATATTCCTGACACATACCACGGACTAAATGGAAGGTATGATCAAGCAAACCATTCCAGTTATCGAACATTTCATCATGGCGCTTGAGTTCCTCTAGCATCAATCTCTGGGCGGCATTTTCATTCGTGGAGTGGAGGGCTAATATGGAAATGAGGGTAAATTTGGGGTCATACTCTTGCTTCGTCCGCTCCTTCAACTCCTCAATTAAGGTTGCCCCATCCTGCAGTTTCTCTTGCTTTTCTGCCTCCCTCTTCCTCTTTTCCATCGCCTGTCGGACCTGCTCAAACCGCTGCACAGTTCGGCCCTTGGCTTCTACGTCTTGGGAGAGCGACATCCGAATGGCCCCCCAAAACTTCTCCAAATCTTCTGGGGTGGCTATCCTCATTGCCCCCTTTCTGCTGGACACATCTGTCTCTTCGGCCTTCTCCCGTTCTCTGGCTTCCTTCGTTTTCTTATTTTCTTCTTTCTTCTCCTCTTTTCTCTCGCCGCCTCCTTTTTTTACTTTCTTTTCCTCTTCTCTCGGTCTTCCTTCTTTTTCTTCTTTTCTTCCTCACCCTTTTTTCTCCTCCTCATATCCTTGATCCCCCAGCAGCAGTGTCTTCTTCCCTGATTTGTGTGTTATCATGTGCATGCTGCACCTCTGGGAGGAAACTAGTAGGAGCAACATCCGGAGCAAAGGGTCCAAGATGGCGTTAAGGGCGCAAAATGCAAACAGGGGATAGTCGTCAACCTAGACAGACCCCTCACTATGCTAACACAGTTCGGTCGTGCACCGAGCATTGCCAGTCAGGTTGTTTTACGAGCGTCTGTCGTTCACTACTTAGCGTGATCACAGTCCAGCTATTGGGTCAACCGAAACCATACATGGACTCAGGAGACTCAAACAGACTCAAGATGACATCAATAAGAATTATGACCAAAGTGACATAGCAATAATTTGTGACCAGCAGCATCCAAATTGGGAAAGCTCCAGCATATTCACGAAACAAAAACAAACACAAAACGACAGGGGCTGGGTAAGAAGCATTTCACTCAAGTCTCCATCGAAGCTCCTTGTAGCTTGATGAAGATGCAGGCATGTCACCCTCAATATCGGAGCTCGCAGAGTAGTCTCTTGTTGACTTTTCGCTTGGGTGGGTCAACCACCGCAAAATGAAGGGAGAAAAGTATTTAGGTTCCAAATTCTCTCAATGAGGACAGCAGCATAACGGTGTCATGCTTTCCCTTAGTTCGGGACTGCGCTGAGTCCGATTGGGAAGTGAGATGTTATGCTGTGATTGTTGCAGAGGAAGCTTAGCAGATGGGGTCTAAAGCCAACTTGGAAAATTGCAGTTTGCAGTGAGTTCGTTAGCTCTCCGAAGATCCCGGGAAGCAGCGAGATGGGCCCGTGCTTCTATTGGTGTTTTCCCTTTCCCCTGTACACGTCTTAGTTGACTCACCTTTGTTATGACAGGGTTTCCTGCCCGATCATTTAAGTTAGATGCCTTCCACACTGCCTTCCCTAAAACAACTATGACTTTGTTATAGTGTGCCGGAATTTGGTCCGCAGCCTTTTTCTTTTGTCTAGACTGATTCTATTTCCTCTAGACCGTCTTAATTTCCCCTTTTTCCTTTCGGGAAAAAAGGAGTAGTGTTCCTACCCTCCATCCCCCTTGATGTAGCTAAGATATCCACTTGCTAAACTCTAGGTGTCGACTTGGCTTCTTTTTTCTGGTGTGCATGATTACCCCTCTATCGTGTTCGCCTCTCCTTCCAACCACTTAATTTTCTATCCTCAGATAGCTCCTCTCTTCTACATGTCGGCCTGGCATGACTTTTTCCTGTACAGCCTCACCCCTCGATAGGTCTAAAAATCGTTGTAGGCAGCGTACCGACTTGGATCTCTCCTTTCAGTGTGATGATGGTGTGAATAAATGGAGATCTGCCGGCGCCCGGCGACGATCAATTGTATTTCTCCTTGCCCAAGTGGACCGCTTGCCTTCAACACTCCTTTCACAAAAAGGGAGCTGTCCATCCATACTATGGAATCTTTCCTTTTACCCTTCTCTGATTTGGCCCCTGATGAGTGTGCTGTGGTTGCTTCCTCCTCACTGAGTTTGGATTTCTCTCAAGATGGAAAGAAAAACGTCAGTGCTTGCCTCCTACCTTACTGCCTCTCTCTTTCAAATCATGTCCTGAGACTGACGCAAAAGGACACGTGCTTTTTGCTCTCTCCACCAGTCTTACTGGCTCGTAGGGTAGAAGAAAACACACTGGTGAGGATTGATGCAGGCCCTTGCAGGGCCCACAGTGGCCCTGCAAATATGCTTGCTTTTCATACTTTCTATAAAGGAAATGATAGGGCGATCTCTGGAAACAGAAGTCATCCTTTTCCTTTGTGGCCTTGCCATTGGTGAATGCGAATAAATCGTCTTCCTCCGTCTCTCTGGCGTAAACTCAAGATGTCTTCTGGGTTTCTCACTAGCTCACTGTTGCTTGGTTTGCTCACACCGCCCGCCTCCACTGCTTTGCTACCCCTTCCTCTCCTCCATTGCCACGTGGCTCCATGGCATTTTTGCTCCTCCTGGCCGTGGTCTCCCTCGAAAGTGTTTGTTGCTGGTGATTGTGCGCACCAATACCCAGGTGATTTGCCGCTGCCCTCTTGGTTGCTCCTTGCACGAGCACGCGGGCTTTGCATAACGCGGCGTTTTCGTGCTAACCGGTTCAGCATGAAGGGGTCTCATGCCCCATAGCGTCTAGCGGCCAGAGCAGTCTACAGGGATTTTATTCCCCTGGAAGGTTGATTCTGTGAGAATTGCCCTTGAAGAGATCCAAAGTGAGGACATTAAATTGCCCTATTATGAAAATGATATTTCAGAACCAGGCTACTGACTCAACCTCTCAAACACCACACATTAGCTTCCAATCCACAACAGTTTCACATAGACCGTGATACCATCCAAGATGAAAATGATATTTCAGAACTATTACGACACGACACTCGTCAGCAAGGAATGAGATACATGCATGCGGCAATGAGACCACTCAAAGGGTATTCTCGAAAAATGTACGAGTCAAAAGTACAAACTCAGCCAGTAGCGTCGAAGGCTCTTCTCCTGACCAGCAGTGTACTCAAAGACTCACCAATCATTTGCTGCATGAATAACGATAAAAAATTCCCTCATTGGGTGACACCCCTCAATGAATCGGAGGCAAGAAAGACTTAGTTTCACACAGACGATGGCAGATGTCTAAGACAACAACGTTCATGAGTAAACAATGAGCTCACTCTAAGATCACAAGATTCACGACATCTTTTTTTCCCTTTCATTTGAACCATGGCTACCGTGGACCCGGACACCGGACCGATCCGGACGTGCGGATTTCCGGACCAGTCCGGACCATCCGGATCGGTCCAGATGGTTCGGACGATCATGTCTGGATCGGTCCGGATTGAAAAAAAAAACAAAAAAACTGGCAGGTCTCTTATGCATGTTGAAAGCAGTTTCATCGTATAACCGTGACTTAAGGGGAAGTGTTCCAGGAAGACATTGCTGTTGGCATGTATGACAAACATGAATGATCGTTCCTTGACATTTACTGTGCTCGCACAGTCACTGCAAAGCACAAACTGCTGCAAGGGAAGAAAAAGCGAAGAAACAAAAAAAAAGAGCACTCCGCATTAAACTTGAATAAAGGTAAATAGTAAATACTAAATATTAAATGAAGTTCAAGACTTTAGCAGTTCAGAATTTGAAGTTCAAACTCTCTCTCTCTCTCTCTCTCTCTCTCTCTCTCTCTCTCTCTCTCTCTCTCTCTCTCTCTCTCTCTCTCTCTCTCTCTTCCATGTGCGCACCAGTCCACAACGGTAATGAGGGCTCTCTCTCCCTCTCCCTCTGTGTGTGTGTGTGTGTGGCGGCGGCGGGTGGGCGGGAAAACACTCGGAAGTGCCTAGATCCGCCCTTTGTTCCCTTTGTCACTGGGGAACTGCGCTCTGCCTCCAACAGTCTGCCCAGGATGCAAGTAGAAAAGGCGCCGGCCCGGCCTCCCTGTACGGCTGATACCGGCCCCAAAAATCATCAGAACATTTTTCAGGGGGCGCCCTGGACCCAAGGAACAGGTCTAGGGTGCCCCCTTTTTTTTTTGAATTTCGGGGTTTTGGCCCCTTCCGGGCGGGCCTCGTACGGTCTGGCGTCCAGACACCGGACAGCAGACCGGCTGGACGCCTGTCCGGATGTCCGGATGGTAGCCATGATTCGGACCATTTCTCGATTTATGGGTGTCATCCTTGCGCAGGGGCCATGCTAATCTTTGTATCATTCCAATTTCACAACATCTACCATCTTCACCTGAATACAACGTACGTCGTACGGTCATTATAGCTGTTTTGGGGGTTTCTTACAGTCTAAATACAGCAATAATGACCTTATGTTGTATTTTGGTGAAGACCGTAGTCAAATGAAATGTAAAACTGCGTGGTTGGAAAGATACATTGCAATTGAAGGCAGGATGTTCCAACGAATCACACCACTTGGAGGATAACAATCCAAGGTGACAAGGCCTTCTGTGGAATTAGTTCAGAAATCCGCACAACCAACCCCAGCTGTTGCTGCAGCAATGTTCATATGATGAATTGATGGACGAAAGAATAATCACGCACAGAGACATGCAGATATTGTAATGAATAGCAGATAAAGGGCGTTTGGAAATTGGAATCTCAGTGATCATTAAACGACTGACTGACTTTACCCCCCCTCCCGACCTCAAAGTTGGAGAACAGCATGAGACCTGCCAGAACCTCAATGATCAAGTGGCTCCACAGTGCACAGCTTGGGGCCACAAGGGTGAGGAGGTCTCTTAAAATTCCTACAAGGGGGTTTATGTACTCTCAATAATTCAGATCTAGTTCACTCACTCACCTGAATGGCGGCCGTTGTAAAAAGTATCCCCATGAACATCCTGTTGGACACTAAGTCTGAGAACACATCAAAATCCTCCGGCCTTCTCATATTTATCAAGTTGAAAATCTGTACAACCAACAACGTCAAGAGTCAAGACCAACAAGGGTGGTTGTTGTCCAGCATTCAGATCATAATAATCCAAAGACTCCAAACCATTCATTAGGTCAGCTCACTGTGCCAAAGATCTCTCCATTTTGTGCTCGCAGCACACCAGCATACAACCGACAGAAAAACTATTGCGCGGCAGCTCAATGGGTTAGAGCTCTGGCATTGCAACAGGGAGGTTGCGGGTTCAATTCTCCCCGATGCACGTTCAGTTGGTGCTAGGTTGGCACCCCACGTACTTGTCCCCCAGCCTAGTACAGCGCATAGATGGATCAGCTGACATAGCAGCTCAGTAGATTGGGACTAGGTGCTGCAAGGGAGAGGTCTAGGTTCGGTTCTTATCAGCCGTGTCTGTCACATAATGGATATAGCTGGGGTGCAGGCAGGGATGGGCCAAGGGTCAGTGATGGGGACCGTTTGCAGAGCTCGAAGTAGTCGGACCTTTAGGTAGGCCTAGTGAAGTGGGTGATCTTGCTGAAATGGTCGATGGTGACCAAGACAATGTCATTCTTCCGCTTAGTTTCAGGAACATCTCCCATAAAGTCCGTACAGATGGATCTGCCTGACCTGTCAAGTATTGGAAGTGGCTACAGTCTACGGGAGGTCAAATGATCTTCTCACTCTTCCCTTTGACCACTGGCAGATAGTGAAGCTCCTGACGTACTCTACAATGGCACTTGTCATAATTGACAGGTAAAACTGCTTCAACAGTCTCAGATTGGTTTCTTCAGTCAAACGGGCTTGTGGCATCATGGCGCTCTCCGAACACACCAAGTCGCAACTGCTTGTCTGTTGGAACACAGCTGCAACACCCCTGTGCTCTCTAGATAGAGCAGTCCTCTCTGCATCACATAATCGGGAGCACGATCGCGGTCTTCTTTCGAACCTACAATTACTAGCTGTAGACAAGGCTCTAGAGTACGTTGCTGTGATCCGGTCCACCAACTTGACATTTGTATTTGCAACAGGATGGGTGTGAAGTGATCCTGCAGCGGGGTGATGATCTACTTTGGTCCATGATGTATGACTGGACTGCCTTGTCGGTGCTGCCTTGCTGCCTGGTTGCCCTTCTGCTTGCCTTGTACTGTTGCCTTGCCAGTGCTGCCCCACTGTGTGCTCCCTTGCTGCCTGACTGACATCCCCTTTGCCTTTCCTTGTGCCTTGTTGCCTACTTCCCTCGGTGCCATGTTGCCTTGCTTCTTTGTTGCCTGCTGCTCATCATGTCGCCCTGCTGCTTGCCTTGTTTTTGGCTGTCCACCCACCTCCCATGCACCCTCCAACCTGCGTGTGTTGCTGTTGCTTGCCATTCGGTGCCGTGTTGCCTTGACCTTGCCCTGCTGCTTGTGTCGTCCATGTACAACGAGATCAAGACTTGAAACATCCATACTGTTGAGGGTTCAAACAGAACATCATGATCCTCTCTCTCTCTCTCTCTCTCTCTCTCTCTCTCTCTCTCTCTCTCTCTCTCTCTCTCTCTCTCTCTCTCTCTCTCTCTCTC